CACGTTGAGGTTCAGTTGCCTCTTGATTCTTCAGGAGAATCTCTAAGATCAGCCAGTGGGCCTGCTTGCTTTTGAATTACTGGTTCTGCCCTTGGTCCAAGAGCATGTGAGATTTTGTGTACACTTTTTAAGAGTGGAGTCTATATTTCCCACATCCCTCTGGGGCTCCTGAAAGCAAGCTTTGCTTCTGCTGCTGCTTCAGTCATTTCCAACTCTTTGTGACCCTATGGACTGTAGCCCACCAGGCTCCTCTGTCCATGGGATTCTCCAGGCGAGAATACTNGGGGCTCCTGAAAGCAAGCTTTGCTTCTGCTGCTGCTTCAGTCATTTCCAACTCTTTGTGACCCTATGGACTGTAGCCCACCAGGCTCCTCTGTCCATGGGATTCTCCAGGCGAGAATACTAGAGTGAGTTGCCATTCCCTCCTTCAGGGGATCTTCCTAACCCAGGGATCAAACCCACATCTCTTAAGTTTCCTGCATTGTCAAGTAGGTTCTTTACCACTAGTACCACCTGGGAAGCCCAAAAGCAAGCCCTACTAGCCTTCAAAGCCAAATGTTCTGGAGGCTCATCTTCCCAGTGTAGAACTCCCAGACTGGGGAGTCCTATGTGAGGCCTGGACCCCTCGTTTATTGGAGGCCATCTCTACAATTGTAATTATCCTCCTGTTGGTGGATTCACCTTCCTGGTGGTATGGGTCTTGACTGTACTATATATATCTCCTCCTACCCATATTATAGTTCCTTCTTTAAACCTTTAGCTATAGATCTTTTCTACTAGACTTCAAATCACTTTCATGGATAGTTGCTCTGTAAACAATCAAAATTTTGGAGTGTCCACAGAAGGAGGTGAGCTCAAGGTCTTCCTACTCTGCCATCTTGGCCACTCCTCTCTGCAGTGTTTTTCAACAATGTAGTGTTGAGTCTTTCTTTTCAATAAGGATTTCTAATACCTATACTTTCACAAGAGATTTTCAAGGATTGTAGTTTGTTGAAGAGACTTATATTGAATCGTATTATGTAATGAAGAATGAGCAACCATTCCATTCAGTTCTTGGTGCCAGGTGACTACTCCAAAGATTATCTTCCCTTGGAAAGTGTCCTAAGTTTCCAAGACTTGCAGTGTTATTGAAACAGACTTTGGCTGAGTTTTTGTTATTGTTCAGTTGTTAAGTCATGTCCGACTCTGTGACCTCATGAACTGCAGCATGCCAGGCTTCCCTGTCCTTCACTATCTCCCAGAGTTTGCTCAGACTTATGTCCATCGAGTCAGTGATGCCATCCAACCACCTCATCCTCTGTTGTCCCCTGCTCCTCCTGCCTTCAGTCTTTCTTACATCAGGGTCTTTTCCAATGAGTCAGCTCTTCGCAACAGGTGGCCAAAGTACTAGAGCTTCAGCATCAGCCCTTCTAATGAATATTCAGTATTGACTTCCTTTAGGGTTGATTGGTTTGATCTTCTTGCTGTCCAAGAGACTCTCAAGAGTCTTCTCCAGCACCACAGTTCAAAAACATCAGTTCTTTGGCACTCAGCCTTCTTTATGGTCCAACTGGCTGGGTTTTACTTAGTGATAAAGTTCTAGATTAATGAAGTCTTGTAAGTGGATATCAGGGGTTATGGAAACTCCTTGAAATACTGAATAAAATGTTATATCTGCTCTTTTATTGGGGAAAAAAGCCATAATTTTCATCAGATTCCTGAAGTATATATAATTACTTTTCTCCCCTTATCCATATGAAATCTTAGATATGCAATCAAGGACACATTTCTGACAAGAACAGAAATTTCATGACATAGTTGAATTCATTCAGTTGCCTGATTCACTCTATTGATTCATCCTATTATTCTACCATTTAAGTAATCATTAACAGCTAAGTGCAAGGCACTAAAACTTCTTGCACATATGTTGGGCAGTTTTTTTCCTTTTAAAAAATATATGTAAATTGAGACTGAAAAGTCAGTCTTGTGTCTATTATCATTTGGTTCCTTTGTTAGTGAGCAGTTCCTTTGAACAGATTGAGTTTTTAGGTATTCAGTTTCCAGACTGAAATTTTACTGAGTAAGTAAAGCTCATTCTGAGTAAGCTCCTTGTGACTTCCTGACAGTCAAGACCCTCAGCATTTGTCTACATTGATGAAACCTGAAAGCAGTGTTAAAAGCATAAGTGAAGAAAGTGAAAGAGAATGATGTCCCAGAGGAAGTGCTGAGAGCAAAAATTTCTCATTTAAAAAACTCTCAGGGAGATATTACAGTATTGGGAGCACAAAGTATAAGATATTGGAAGCTGATAAAAATTTATAAAGGAGTATGACAGTTCAGCAAGGCATAGAAAAAATGTTCCAGTTCTACAAAAAGAAGACAGCAGGGACTGCTGAAATACTCTTGCTAAATTTTTTTTTACAAAGAAAAAAACACTTTAAGAATTGCAATGTTTCTAATGTTTAAATTACAATGTATTAAAATATGGTTTTTTTTTTACACTTCCATATACACTTAAAACCTATAGTAAGAGAGTTTTTCATGTTTCAACAAAATTTTTGTAGGTCACAGTACAATTTTTAGGATTATCTTGCATAGTTTCAGCTTACATGGTCATTTTACTGTCCTGTACTACTGCACAATGTTAGCACTGCCTGTATGTCTAAATGTTTGCAGAGGCAAAGAAGCCTGATTCCTCATCTTCCTCAAAAATATGTCATAAAGATGCCTCAAAGAGCATGAGAGACCCAAAGGATGAGAATTTTTTTAACACTTACAATGCATTTGCTGTGTGTCAAGACAATGTTCCCAGCACTTTACGAATATTAAGTCATTCATCCTCACAATAAGTAGGCTAAGTGTGATGGTACCCATTTTACAAATGAGAAAACCGAAATGTGGTAGGTATTTTGCCCTTGGGCACCCAGCTAGTTATTATAGAGATGGGATCGGAACCCGTGGAGTCTGTTTCCAGAGCCCATGCTCTGAATCATGCCATTAGCTGCCTGTTATGGGATTCATTTGGTCGCTACATTCAAGGATCTTTCAGTTATGTATATTCATTCCCAGGCTATTCAGAACGACTCCCTTTTAAAAAGTTAGCTTTTCTGACCTCTGAATGCTATAGCTGGAAAAGTCATTAAAGATTGTCCCTGCCTTGCAGATTGGTTTTCCTGTCCAGTAGAACATTCCAATGGGCCACACAGGTTGAACATAGGCCTTTGAGTTACGGTACAGGAATGGAGTAAGGTCCTAGAACTTCAGAGAGATTACTTATATGTCCCTGTGCCAGGAATAGTTTCCCCTCACCCACAAACATACATATACACACATATGGCCACGTACCTTCAAAAGCCATCTCACATACCTGGCTCTCTAGGCATTTGTTTTCAGAGTGGTCTCCACTGAGGCATCCCACACTATACCAAGCAGAGACTTTGGCCTCCTGTTGAACTAGGCCTGTGCTCCCATGCTGCGTGAACCACAGGTATCCTATCACCTTAATGCTCTACAACCTCGAGATAAAGAAATACCAGTACAGAGTCCCCAGTGTGAGCAAGGGCAAAGTTGGCTGGGGGCACAGCAGAGGCTGGGTGTACCAGAGCCTTGGGGGTCAGGATGTACTCTGGGCCCCACAGTGCTGGAAGGGCCTCCCAGACCCCCTGATACAGCCCTGACCCCTCTGCAAGGTGGGAAGGCAGGCTCTTACCTTGCAAAAGTGCTGTCCAACCTGGCCAGACCCTATCAAATCCTACCTTGCAGCATGGCAGTGACCTGTCCAGCAGGGAGAAGACACAGCCCCCTAGGGTCTGAGCGCCGGGTGCAAGCCTGCCCTCCTCATTCTCTCTAGCGCGCCTGGCCCATTTCTCTTTCATGCCCCCACTCCCAGAAAAACATGACCCAGTCACCTTGGTTCTCCCTGCCACACCTGCTGATCTTGGTCCCCACAGATAGAAGGCTGACTACTGGGGCTCTTGCATGGAGCAAGACAGATGTGGCCTCAGCCCCCAGGGACTGACAGAGTCTTGGAGGAGGAGTTACAGATGTTTATCGAATGGTTCCCCAAGTGAGTGAGAACTTCCAGTTGGGGACAGGAAGACCTATGGCTGCAGAGTGTCCTATCCTAAGGAAGGGTTCTGGAATGAGACTGGTGGCCTGGGACCAATGGGAGCAGAGCAAAAGTGAGCATGATGTAAAGCAGAAAGAAGGATCAGCAAGGAACAGGAAGAAGGCTGGGGACCTGGGGCCCAGAGAGCAGGAGGAATGTGGGGTGCACTGGGGTTGAGCTGAAGTGACAGCATACACCAAAGTTTTGTAGGCATATTAAAAAGGTTAGAATTTGTCTTAGAAGTGAGGAGCCACCGAAGGGCTTTAAGCAAGGAATCAACAGTCATACCTACATTCTAAAAATCTAAATCTCTGACTTCAGTGGTAAGAATACAGTGTAGAGAGGGGTGTTGGAGAGGGTGGAGGAGACTTCCAGTTTTTCAGGTAATAGGAGGTATCGTGGTCTTGGGAAACAGAGACAAGTGGACAGGTTTGTGAGATATTTGGTGGTTAAGTTGGCATGATGGTCATGATATAAATACAATGCTTTGAGGGAAAAGGAAGATGTTAAGTATGAAGGCATACTAAGTCTCCACACTTTGTATCTAGAGGGGTGGTGTGCCAGTTTCTGAGCGTGAACCAGTTTTGAGGTTTGGAATATCCAAGAGGTAATAATATACAATCTATAATTCAGGAAAGAGGTCTAAGCTGACTTACGGGCTATGGAAACTGTATAGAGAAGGGTATCTTAAGGGACACCAAAATTTGATGACAGAATGTAGAGGATAAAACTTACAAGGAAGGCAGGGGAGGACTGGCCAAAGCTAACAGGAGAGGCTGCTCATGGCTAAGTGCCAGCATTTTTGATGAGCAAGGAGGCGTGGCTAGGTTGCTATGATAATTGAGAGGAAGATGGAAGCTGGAGAATATTCAAAAGGCATGAATCTCCAAAAAATATTTTTTTCTGTTTTTAGAAAAAGATATAACAGCTGTTATTGATGTTTTACAAGAGGAACAAACAACCTGGATGTGGGTGTCAAGAGTCCCTTGAAGAGTGTGGACAAGACCAGATAGCTGTAGCCATCAGTTTCACTCTCACCTGGAATGTTTCACCAAGTGCTCTACATGTATTAGGGCTCAGTCGCCACAACAACTTTCTAGAATGAGTTCATTATACCTCCATTTTACAGATGAGGAAACTGAGCCTCAGCATGTCAAAGCAAGTGGTAAAGTGGAAGGTGAGCACCAATCTGTGAGAGCTGAAAGCCCATAACTTAACCCAAAAAGACTTTGTGTCCTCTCACTACACACCTGGTTTTTTCCTGGCTGCCTCTCCTAAAACAAGGATGTAAAAATGCCTTTTACATCTCTGGCCTACTCTCTACTTTGCAGGTTAACTTCTTTTTCTTCAAATAACCCATGTTACCATTTCCCTTATACCCATTTCCTCATAACTTCTGGCTTCTGCTTTACCTACATTCACATTAGTCCCTCAGAGATTAACGCCCTTCCTACCTCCTAGCCTGTACCTTTCCCCCCTTCCGTCTTTGTTCATTTGATTTCACTCCAATGGCTTTGGACGCATTTGGCTACTTCTCCTCCTTGTATCTGTTTGCCCATGGCTGTTTTGATAGGCTTTTCCTTTTCTCCCACTGCTCCTCTGTAATAAATTCCTCTGTTCCTGTTCCTAGCTCCCTGAGCATTTCCCAGCCTAAGAGCTTAGCCCTTGGCTTCATACTCCTTTTGAGAACACATTTCTTTTCCTGACTTTAGCTCTTACTGCTGTGTGGGTACCCACCCTCAGTTCCCTTCTTGGCCCTGTCCTCTTTCTTTACCCCCATATCTGAAGCATCAAGTGCCTAGTGAACATCAACACTTAGATGGCTCACCATCACTTCACACGTATGGCTAAAACCAAATCCACTAACTTCCTCCTAAACTTCTCCTCCCACCCCAACTTTCTCATATATCATTTTCCTAGTCATTCTCAAAATCTTTACTTACCCCTTACCCTTACTTTCCTACCCCCTAGGAATATTTGCTCCCTATCCCAGTCTAAACACATTATCACAAGGTTCTAAAGATATTCCCTAAAAATGTCTTATCTCTAACACAAGATTTCCCTTTACCTTTGGACCCATATCTTAATTTTTGAAATGGACCTTAACCCTACCCTCTGCTCCATTAATGATCAAAGTGTATTCTCAGTGGTCAGTTGAAGGCAAATTAATGTCTTCCTTGTAGACTTTTGCAAAAAAAATTACCTTCAAATCTGATATCCAGTGGTTTTCAAAAGCCTCTGTTGGGAAAAATCTCCCCAAATTGAAGTTTTTTGGTGGACCCTTCATTCCACTCTTGGCATTCCCAAGATCTGATGACTTTAAGGGCTACACGGATGACACGGTTGTGGAGATGGGTAGATGTTATAGAGCCCAGGACTCCTCTCAGATTTTCAGATGTGATGCCAAACAGAACATCTCTCCATGGGTCCAATCCAGACTCCAGCCTGTCTGCAGCCTTTGCTGAGTATCAAGCGCCACAACCTTTGAGGAGTTGCATACTTGGACCTGGTGTGGAAATTCCTTCTGCAGATGCCTTTGCCTAGTCGTGCTGTGGTGCCAGGCCTTTAACTATGAGTGACTTTATAAGGTCAGTCACACAGAACTCATCGTTTCATCTAAAGGGATGTTGAGGACTACAGTTAAAATCATTTATATTTATCCTTCTGAATTGGATGTGTATGTTTCCTCAAATCCTTTACTGAATAAAATGAGGTCTTCATTCTTAAGGGTTGTCTCCCTATTTTCACTCCTGGAAGATGAGGTCCCCCAAGGCTGAGGATCTGGATCTACATCCTTTACAACTATGTCCCACAGGGGGAACTGTGTCCAGGCCTTTGCATATGCTCAGTACAAATCTGTCCCCTGTGTTTGAATCATTTCCACCTCTACGCAGATTTTTATTCTCCATTGTCACCTGACGTCCTGCTTTTCAGATTGTCCCTGCACACTGTTCATCCTGCACACTGCTGCCAGATTGTTTTCCAACTCAGTTTTCATTACATCCCGTTAAAAACCTTTTTTGCTTCCAGTTAACTACAAGGCTTCCAGAATTATCCTTAGTCAGCCATATTTCTTGGCTCTCTCTACCCACACTCTGACGCCTCACTGAACCACAGATAACCTACCTCATGTCTCCCCCATGTCACCCCAGTTCAACTGGTTCTGCCCTGCCAGCTTCCCAGGAGAGGTCTGTGTCTTCCTCTCCTTCCTTGAGCCTTCTCTCTCCTAGTAGAAACACCCCTCCTCCTTTTCCTTTGATGTGGGTCCTGAGAGACTCTTGAGTCATTGTATAACTCAGAGTTGTGGAGGCTTTCGTTAAACATTAAGGGCCCTGTCTGAACAAGGTGCTACATCAGACACAGGAGGTATGTGGAAAGTTTTCTGAGGAAGGTGCTGTAAACTAGGACATCATGTGAGGACTACAAGTCTGTAAGATGGGAGGAAAAACTGCCCATGAACTTCTATATTGAGAAAACACAGAGTATCAGATCTGGGATGGCAGGCGGGGTTGTGGGGAGGAAGCAAAACTCCAAGATCTTACAATAGCACAGTTCTCTTTGAAAGCTGAGCCAACCACATGAGATCCAGAGAAGCAAGGTCACTTGTCAATGGTCACTTAAAAGTGGGAAAAGTTTTCCGTGTGCACATTCTGTTATCTGATTTCCACGTTCTAGCATTGGGGTCATGACACTGGTGAGTCAGTCATTTTTCCTAGCAGGCATCCAAGTGAGTCCCTGGGAATTTCTTATTCTGGAGGAGAGATAATAGAAACCAACAAGGGAGATCTGGTGGGATAAAGATTGTGTGGTTGGCCTGGACTCCCCTTTAGGGCACCACAGGGAGACCTCAGCCACAAGCTTTCCTTACACATAGGAAAGACAGTTGATGGTGCCTGAAAGGCACGTTTCCCTCTCTACTAAATACCAAAATCCACATTTCACATGAGCACACAGACCCAAAGCTCTTGGGCATCAGGCAGGCCTGGGGCTTTCCTACTCATCTTTGAGGTCCCGTGACTCCAAAGCATGCTTGTGAAACTGCTCCTTTCTCCATAGCTGCGTACTGACTGCCCCTTTGCCTCAGCTTTCCCCTTCACCCATCTGAGGCTGCCCCAGTGTCCTTCAGATACCCAATCCATTGTCTTCCCAGTAGGCTGCATCTGATATCCTGCCCCAGGTGACTTTGTTTTAAAGTATTAGCATTGACCACCTGAAGAGCCTTCTAGATGATGGCCTTTTCAGGCCATGAGACAAGTTGGGTTGGGGATGGTGGGTGGGGTTTGATGTCGAGAGACTGGAGACCCATGGCATCCTCAGAGCCTTTTGTAAGGAGCCACTTGACATCCAAACCATACTTTTTTCTTACCAGCAGGCTGAACCTGTCTCATGGAGAGGCAGAACAGGCCAGGCTGGGCATCATTCCCATAGCAGTTCAAGAGGTTTCCTACCACTTCACTAACTCAATTTTAAAAGATCTAACATGTTATCTTCAGAAGGAAATGGCAACCCACTCCAGGATTCTTTCCTGGAGAATCCCACAGATGGAGGAGCTTGCAGGCTACAGTCCATAGGGTCACAAAGAGTTAGACGTGACTGACTTCACAACATATTATCTGGCCTCAAAGGGTTATTGGTAGTGGGATTTTTTTTAGCCCAATTTTGACTTTTTACCTGAAGTGAGGAAATGCAGAAGTGACAGTATCACAGTAGCAGGATTCGGGGTCATGGGCCCAAGTTCCAGTCTAGGCTCTGTAACCAGCCCTGTGACCTTGTTCACTCCCTAAGCCTCCCTGGGCCCCGGTCAAGGATGTGGATTCTCTCTGCCTCAGGATTCACTGAGCCCAGGGTCGAAATGAAACCTCTGGGACTGGGCACCAGCAGGTTCGGCTGTTGCTCCTCAGGCTTCAGAGTCTCCCTGGCACACAGAACTGTGTGACTCCGTGACTCCAGGAGCAACAGTGAAAGGTTCCAAAGCAGGGGTTCTTAGGGCAGTCCCAGGGCCACCAGCCAGAGGCCACTGAACCTCTTTCTTGTGGCAAGATTCAAAGCCACATCTGAGTCTTGGTGTCCAAGATTAACCACACCAAGGTCCCCAGAAGCCTTGCGTTGGCTCACCTACCTGTTTGTGATAAGTCCTTTGAAGGGCAGCAACAAAGCTGCATCTGCAGTGGGATGTCCTTCATCATCACTACAGCGCAAGTTCCTCCAAGGCAAATCCTCACTATTCACTCCTCTCTGGGGCCTCCGAGGGGGACACGGTGGGTGCCTGTACCTAGTATGTGCTCAGTAAATGTTGGTGAAGGGAATGAATGAACAGTTGATAAGCTAAGCTTCTTAGGGTCATGATGCATTCACATGTGCCCAGAGGGATATTTTCCTTATCCTATCTCTGATTCCAAATGCCAAATTCCAGCAATGAATTGGCCTGAAGCCACCACCCAAATAGTCAGATAAATGCAGCAATACTGGCCTTTACTTGTGAGCTTATCTGTTGTTTAATGAACAAACTGTGAGACCACAGAAATGGCCTAGAGCAGGGCCAATCTCTGGTGAGGGAGCCACTGACTGACCTCAAACAGTGGGGTTACTTAACCTCTCTGGACCTCCTTTCCTTATCTATAAAACAAAGGGATTGGGACACATGACCTCTTTGAGCTGTGGATCTGATGCCCAGGGTTCTTACCCTTTCTCTCAGCTTCCCTTCACAGCTTTCCCCAGTGCGTTCTCCCTCTTCCCCTTTCTCGGCTCTTTCCTTCTGCACGATTGCCCTCAGGCCAGCCAGTGTCACCTAGAGGTTCAGGTACCCGGCACTGACCTGGGATGTCAGAGAATGTGAGGTGCAAGTGGCCAGGTTTGGCCATCTCTGACTCTTCTCATTCTCTTTAGAGCCCCAGACCCATTCTAAGAATCTAATGAAAGCTGTGGAGAAACACACTCAGTAATCAATATACTTTGAATACAGTGCTGGGTTCTGGACTCCCTGCAGCCCATCACAGACTTCAGATTTACAACTCCCAAGATCCTTTATCCACCTACTACTTCCAGTTCCCAATGTCCCAGAGGCTCTTTCCAGATCAGAACCACCTTTGTTGACCAGTAGAGTGTTATTTCCAGGTTGTTGAGTGAAATCTCCTTTAACTTTGATGCCATTTAACTTTTCACTTGGGCCCCAACATCCTTCAGATGAGGAAGTCCTGATACGGTGGTAAATTATGCAGCCAGTGGAACCAGTGAGAAATATTTACAGGGAGAATGAGGGACACGTCTGGGACCCACTTCATATTGACACTGTCCACAGCTGCCCTAAGCCTCAGTGGGCATCCAGGCTGATGGGATCTCTGGGCTTCTGCCATGGGGGAGCCTGTCTCATGGAGAGCAAGTGCACATGCAGACTACAGTATTCACTCCAAAAACTTAATATGTACAGTGACCCACCCGGTGTTCTAGTCCCTGGGAATATAGCAATGAACCAAATGAGGCCCTTGCCCTCAAGAAGTTAATTTGGACAAGGCCGAGTCACCCATATTACTGTTAATATTATAATTGTTTAACCGGAAGCATGATCAACAAATGATAGGGTAGAGGAGAAAGAGATTATCCTGGGAAGTCTGGGTATGGCCTAATGAGCAGGACTTGAAGGAGGAGTATTTTATTCAAGACATCAAGTTGAGGGAAAGGCATTGCAGGTCCAGAGAATGAGAAAACAATTGACAGGGGGAACTCAATTTCTTCCTGCACCCCTGCCTGTGCCATTAGATTTCCAGGGTTCAGATGGACTCCCTATCTCTGTGTGAGTACATTTACTGCTACAGCTCAGCTTCAGTTTCCTTATCAGAAAAATTGGGAAAATAATAGTGTTTCTTGATATGGTAACTGTGAGGAGGAAAAGAGATAAGGCATGTTGATGCCTTACCAGAGTATCTATATGAAACACATAGAGTTCAATAAACACTGTTACTGCCATTAGTCTTTAGTCTCCCACAAGAGCGTGGGTAATAAGGGATAGTATGGGAATAGTTGGTTAGAGCAGATTCTCTAGACTGGAGTTGTGTTCTTGGGGGTGATCACTGAAGAAATGTGTCCTTGCGGGCAGATAACTGCACCTTCTTGGATACTTTGAGGGGCCTGGGAACGAGATGATCTCTAAGTCTCCTTGGTGGTCCATATGTCAGCAGTTGTGACTCTAGTGCCATGGAGTAATTGGTGATCGTGTGAGAGATGCTGAGGTGGCATGAATACAACTCTAGAGCCACTCTCCACCACATTTCCTTGGCTGTGCTATCTCCCCACATTTCCTATCCACCCACTTCCTTCTCCCCAGTCAGAGGAAATCATCTCACCAAAACAATTAGTCTCCAGGGGCTAATCCTGCAGCTTGTTCTCTCTCCTGAGGGTGTTCTCATTTTAACAGACACCTGAAGCATTTCGGTGAAACTGTTCACGAGTAGCACTCTTTCCTCTCTGTGGGAGCTTGCAGGCTAGATGGAGGAAATACTAATAAGCATGATGTCGTCACAAGCATGAAGAGATACTAGCACAGAGGAGGGCCAAAGAAGCCTTTATGTGAAAGGTGGGACTTGTGCCGAGCCTTGAAATGTGGCTAGGATCTTGATGGTGAGCAGAAAAGAGGGCTTTGGCAATGCTTGGAGGTAGGACCGAGTAGTGCGGTTGGGATAATGAACCAAAGGACCTGGAGTCACATTGGGAAGCATTAATAATTTCCACTGGTGGAACCAGAAGTAGGGGTGAGGATGTTGAGGAGGATGCAGGAGAGGCATTGCTCTCTTACTTGACTCCTTGGCTTCTAATTTGTTTACACACTCTTATGCTAGGAAGCTAGCATATGTATACTCCTATACAAGGAAACTAGAGGAAGTTTTAAGAAAACAGGAAATCCTACTAGCTAAACTGTATGTGTAGGTGCTAATAGTAGAGGCAGCAGGCATCTTCGGAACTAATTTATGAGTCTTGCAAAAATGTTTTAAATTTCCGTCTAATTTAGCTTATATCTCATTGTCAATAAGAACTACATTAGGCTTAAAATGGCTTTCTACTGCTTCCCAAATCAAGTCTGTCTACAGTGGATGAAAAACTGGCCCCACTGAGATATCTGTGACTTATTTATAGTGCTGAGTATTTAGGAGGTCCTCTTCAATTCTGGGATATTTTTGTCTAATATTTCTTTGAATATTTCCTAGATCACCAGTTAGACAAATATTGGGTCTTACAGATTCATCCTTCATGTTTCTTACTTGCTCTTTTATATTTCTCATCTCTTTTATCTCTTTGTGCCACATTGTAAGGTACTTCCTTGACTGAATCTCCCAGCCATCACTTCACCTGTTATGTATTTGGCTTTTCAGTCCATGCATTCAGATTTATATCTCAAAAGTCAAAGTTATTAATGTCCATTATCTATTCATCCTTTTATGGATGCAGTGTCTGCTGGTGTCTTTGAGGCCGTTGATGCAACATGTTCTAGAGCCCTGTTTGGTGAATTATAAACTCTTCTGTTTACAGTTTGTGAAATAAAGTCCCTTCCATGGCATTAGCAGTCATCGAATGTTTGGTGAGTCTTAATTACATGCTCGTTTTTGTGGCTGAATTTGTCAGCTGGGCTGCTTCTGTGCTCCCACCTTTTAGGGAAGGACTGGAAGAAGCCAGATACTCTGCTGCAGATTGTACTCTCTTTTCAGGAAGAGCAAGGAAGGAGTGCTACTAGTCAGAATACCTGAGCACGGAGGCATCAGGGCTCGGGTATATTCTGTGTCTCCAGTCCCGCTCCTCCCTATCTGTAGCTTCTCTGGGCAGAGCCGCACTTCAGCTGCCACTTGGTAGGAGCAGGGAAGATGCATAAGAGCTCCTGAGGCCAGCTCTTCAATCCGCCGGTTGCCCCCAGTTCTCTCCAGCTTCCATTATCCATGGCCTTCAGTGTGGAGCCCTACTGGGTTTTGTCCTGCTTGTGGAGGGATACTCTTCTCTCCCATATGTGTTTTGATTTGTTTCCTTCATCAGGTTGATCCCAACATTTTTTACACTACCAGAATTTCTGGCCCGAGGAGGGCTACTCTTCTTGTCTTATAATTCGGTTATGAAGGTAAAAACTATCTTTTCTATCACTTTCAGAGTCTTGGGGGGGGTGGGGTGACAAGGAAAGGCTGTAGCACGTGCTTCATCCATTGTCTTGAACCAGAAGCTTACTGAGGATATTAAAAATAAGGTGCCCCTGATTTCTGAAAGCAGTTCCAACGAAGGTGCTCCAGTGATGTTTTGGTGATATTAGACTGAGCAGTTAGGCTCACAGGAGAAGCGCCTGTTTGGACATGAATTGACGGACGTAGTAGTTAACTTAGCAGTCATGTGGCTCTGAAACCAGACCCTGTGACACCGAAGCAGCATCGTTGATGTCGTAGGTACTCTAGACCTCACCTAAGGAAGGGTCCAGAGTTAGAGAGGGTAACACAGGAAGTATCAGGGGATGAATAGTGAAAAAAGATACACTTGGAGACCCAGAAGAATAAACATAGG